TTACCATGATTTGCAACTCTCATTATTTTGAATATGGTTGAGAAGCGTTGTATACTTATAGATGATACTATTCTAAGAATAGTGATGGTATGTAAGTAGGGTTTTAGAACACGTAGTTTTCAAGATACGGCCAGCCAAAAAAAACTCTTTCCGAGCTTAAGAGTGGTGAATTCGTAGTTAAACGCGTGAAATGGCTTCTTTATTTTCCATTTTTGAAAATTGACCAATAGGAATCGTCAAAACGCAACAATCTGACAGCATGGGTGCAGACCTCCGACCCGCCTGTTTGCGCGACGTGTGCAGTGTTAGCATTCGCATAATTTAATAATGGACTCGTTATTTAGCCAGCCTGGGTACCACGAGACGGTATAATTCTACCAAACTAGAACCAACTAGCATGCTCGAATATGCCAGACTAGAGAAGAGCCGGACATGCCAACACCCGATGTGTCCTCGGTAGTGTATGTATAACCGGAAGGCCTCGATGGGCTCAGACTGTCAGCTTCGAGCCTCACATCCACCAGACATCGTGGAGGACGCTCACCAAGCAGCTAAGTCTCAATACGTCGAGTAGGGCGAAGCATTCATAGAAAAAGACAGAGAAATATTCGAAAGAACACACATTGAAGAAATGTAAAACAACTTGTCGAGTTAAATGCATACCGATAGCGTATATACTGTAGCTCTTTCCTATTCAGCAGACTAAGACTGTCGGCGCCGGCGAAGACCTCAAATGCTAACAACATATACATACCACAATGGTAGCTATCCATCTGAACCCCAAGATCACTCACATGCGATCGAACTCGGTATTTTCTTGGGACAAAGCCCGGCAGAATTGTCACCAACTTGTCCGCAAGTGTTCGAACCTTGACTCCAAAGCTAGAATTCAATGGATCGTAGACTAGGACTTCTTTCGCTTTGAGGTCTATCACGACCGAACACCAGTGGTTCTTGCAGCATATCACTGGAATCAAAATCTTCTCGCCCGTTACGCCAAGAAATACATTCT